CCTTGCCCAGCCGTCCAAACAGCCATGCTTAGGTGGAGTAAAGCTACCCGGATATTCGGTAGCCAGCTCCTTGTAGATGTTGCGCAGCGAAGGCGGTACGGCGATACCCTTGGGAACCGCAAAGGAGAGACCGCATGCTTGACCAGGGCCGTGATATGGGTCTTGTCCGACGACAACGACGCGCACGTGGCGAGGGGTGGGGACGAGACGAGACCACGAGTAGATGAGCTCGCGTGGAGGGTAGGTCTTCTTTCCTGCTTTGTCTTCGGCTGCGAGAAAGTTTTTGAGGGTGGTGGAAAAGTAGGGTTTCTCCATCTCGGGTCGGAGCAAAGCGAACCAGGATGGGGACATGGTTTGGCGTTCAAGCCATAGCGGGTCTGATGAGATGTCGGATGGTGGTTGTAATTTGGGCAATGATTCCGTCGAAACCGAAGAGGAAGAGGAAGAAGCTTTGCTGGAGGAAGGGAAGAGTGTAGCTTGGCGCAAGGTCGAACGTGGAGTCGAAGTAGCGGAAGGTTTGGGGGTCGACTCGATCGAGGCAGTAGTCTCTGACGATGTGGAAGGGACGGGTTCGGCCTGCGATGACGCTGGATCCGGCTGCGAAGATGCTAGGTTGGACGCAGCAGACTCGGCCTCCTCTGCTGCAGCTATAAGCGCTTCGTCATCGAGCTCCTGGTCAGACGTGTCGAATTCATCCTCTTGTGGCACCACGTCCCTCTTGGGCTTCTTCAAAGGGGCGTCCTGCGCAACATTAGCACCATCTGCGGCGAGAGTATTCGCATCCCGCTTCAAGAGCGTCGTTCGTGCAGCCATTGCGATTCTTCCAGTATGCCAACAGTAGGTGTCCAACAGAGCCGACGTGGCTAATCGAATCCTCTTGTGGGAGGTGCCCTGAAGAGCTATGCGTCCGCCAAGTGCGCCAAAGCAGCGCGAGAATTGAGTGAAAGAAATGATTGCCGTCGTCGTACTACTGGAGAGTATGTCCCTTCCTTGAGCTTCTGAAGATGACGGTGATGGAGTGAGACTGAGGACAAAAGATGATTGACTCAGCCAATGATGAGGAAATCAAAGCAACTTGGCACCTCCACAAAAGTTGGGTTGAGAAGGGCGCCGTGCGACAGCTTGGAAGGAGAAAAGTGTGTAATTTCAGAAAGGCTATCAACGCGAGGGCACGCGCCATCGCGACTTTTCCTCTTTACGCGAAACCTTTGTCCGATATTGAGACCAACACTCTGCGCACCGGGAGTGAAGAATGGATTTTCGAGCTCTTTTTTTAAAGCTGATTTTTTATTTTATTTTGATTTCTTTTTCCTCGTCCTCGTCGTCATCTCTCGGCTTTACACTTCCATCGTCTCAACCCCAATCTTGAAAGTTTTGACACGATGACATTGACATCCTCAAACGACGTCCCAACAACCTCCATCCAGGCTGGTAAGCCTCGATTCTTCATCTTCTTCAGCTCAGGCAACCCACCCTGGTGCCCTGACTGCGTGGATGCTCAGCCGGCGGTAGAGAAGGTGTTTGGAGGCAGCGCCGTCGACGGTCACATTGTGCTCGTTGGAGAGAGGCCAGAGTGAGTCATGTTTCCCGAATGACACATGGCAGTTCAAGCGCTTACTTGACTAACCAATTGCTTGCCTCTGATGCTAATAGGTGGAAGACTCCCGAGAACAAGTTCCGTCAGGAGTACGCCATCAAGTGCATCCCTACCATAACCAAGGTTGTCGACGTGAGTGCACTTATCAAACCTCGAAGAGAGTAGAGAGCAAGCGACTGTTTACTGACTTTCTCTTTCTCGCCGCACAACTTGACACCTGACATGAATCGGATCTTTCGGCGTGTCGATGCTCGACGCATCACATTAGGGCAAGGAAGTGGCCCGACTCGAAGACAGCGAGTGCAAGGATGCTGGTACTGTCTCTGCTTTCGTCAAAGCCTAATACTCTAATACTCTCTCGTTCATCACACTTGCAATCCAGAAGACAACTTGTACAACAATTACATTCGAGCATGCGCAAGTGCGAAACAGAACAACACCTGGACGTATATACAACCGTACCACAGAGCAGGATAGGAGACTAAAGGGTATAGATCAGATACAAGCTTGGCATGTCACCTCACTTGAAGAACCCTCCGAATCCGCCCAAGTTTCCACCGTGGTGGCCGCCGTGAGGGGGACCGTAGGGGTTGCCTCCACCATAAGGGTTGTTGTGGTGTTTCTTGTCGTCAAACTTCTCGAACACCTTCTTTCCGACTTGGGCCAAGATGGCGCCTCCAGCCATGGATCCAAAAGTGCCCATGTGGCCGCCGGTCATTTTGTTACCCGCCCAACCGGCAGCTGCACCCGCAGCCATGGTTCCCAAGCCACGTTCGCCGTCGATGGGGTTTCCATTCTGATCGTACTGCATGGGACCCTGCACTTGCGGATGCGAGGGCTGGGATGAGTATGGAGAGGGAGAGTTGCCGTACGAGGCGTTTTGAGGTGGACCATAAGATGAGGAGGAGTTGTAGTGCAAATCTTGACCGGGTGGTCCACCGTAAGACGATTGAGGACCGCTGCCAGGATAGGAAGATTGTGGTCCGCCAGGGTAGGAGGAGGACTGATAGCCACCGCCAGAGGATGAGAGCGGATCACCAGGGTACGACGATTGCTGGCCACCAGGGTAGGAGGATTGAGGACCGCCTGGATAGGAGGACTGGGGTCCACCAGGGTAAGAAGACTGGTTGGGAGCTGGTCCACCCGGGTAGTACGACATTGTTGTTCAGAAGTTCGTTGAGTGATGTTGTTGAGAGATGTGTGAGGTGATGGTGGAGAAGGAGGGTAGGCTTGATACGGTAGGGTGGTGGAGCTACTTATGGAACTCCAACGTGAAATGAAATTCATCAGCAAAGAAGGGACGTGCTCACCCATCGAGGACCCTGGCAGTGTCAGCCTCTTCCCATCCGTTTCCCTGTCGTGCCAAGACATGTTCAACGGCACAAGCACATGATCCCATCACGTCAAAGGCTCTATCAGATGCAGAACCGAAAAACACACCGATCTAGCATCCGAAAATCATTGCCGGAGGCAATGCTTTGCTACAGCAACAAACCTCTTTGAATTCGGCAGCTTTGCCACACAGCCCCCCGCATTCGTCTCACCCTGTGTCCTCTCTAGCGAGTCGGGAGGTCAAAACAGAACGTGCGCCTCGAACTATGTAGGGATGGCATCGGCCGCTCCCAACAATCGGAAAACGACCGGGGCAAAGGCAAACAGACAGGGCTGTGCTCTGAGCAAAGTGGCAAGTGGGGCAGCAGGGGGCTGTGCGTGGACGCCCGCGGCAAATAACAACAAAAAGATTCCGCCACAATGCACCCTCAGGGCACGAAATTCGCCAGGGCAGTGCAGCCCAGAGAAGGGCTGCAGCACGATGACGGCGTTGCATCAGCTGTTTGGCATTCCATCAAAGCCGCACGAAAAGCGAAACCTGGTGCTTTCCTCGAATTCGTGTGTGTTCCAAAGATGTAACATCTTTAAAGTCACGAGCGAAACACGCGTCCCGTCTTTCTTCCCGTTGCGTCTTTTGAAATTTAGAGTTGATCCAGCCAATCGAAAATTAAATTTAAAGCTGTTTTTCTCTCGCTTCCAACAACGCGGCTCCTTGCACAACGCCTTCTCCTCGTCTTTATCCTCATTGGACCACCACACACCACCCACACTCGTCCATCTGCAAGCCTCTGTCGCTGCCATTCATAATCGGTGCAAACACATGCACTCTGCAAGAACAGAAACGCAGGACTCCATAGCTCAGTTGGTTAGAGCGTAGCACTGTTACTCTGAAAGAGGTCGGATCCCCACGCTTCTGGTGTGAGGTTCCTTTCTCGCATCCCTCTTCCTCCCGTCGTCTCTCCGAAAGACGCAGGGGTTGAGATGCTGAGGTCGGCGGTTCGAGCCCGCCTGGGGTCGTTTCCTTTTTGCTCCTTCTTGATTGCTCTCCTCCGATAGGATGAGCTTGATATCTTTTCGTTGTTATGATGATAATGGAGACGAGTGATGGGTACCGCTTTTTATGTTGCGGTGGTGTGCCTCTTTTTTTGCTTTTTTCGACTTTGTTCACAATTCAGATTTGACACGTGTCCCATGTGTTAGGCTTCGATTGAGCAGGGTCTCATCAGCGGTGAAACCATCAGGATAGAGGACGTGAGTTCTGTTGATGGCATGGTGTGGTGAGTGTCACATCGCATATGAAGAGCACACAGTCGAGCCCGAGTATCTGCCAAGCCGATGGCACAGAAATCAACCATCTCGCGACTGTGTGCGGGAGACAGCCCAGAGCGAAGAAGAAGACGGCCAGAGACGAGAACTCGCAAGCATCCTGTCGCTTTACTTTGTACATTTGTATCGAGTCAAACAACGAGTGTGGGCCAAGCAAGATTTGGCGTTCCCGACAGCCGCTTCCCTCCATTGATGCGATGTTGCTCAATTCCTTACTGTGTTGGGCGTTCACCCACCCTCTTCTCAAAAGTCACGGTGCAGCGCAGTGCAGCACAATGTTGGTCGCTCTGCCTGCCTACATCCGGTATGAAGGCAGGTTGTCAGCTCTGGTTGCTGTCAAACCCAACAGGAGGCAGAGAGTGTTGCAGATAGATTTTGTGTGCAACGCCCAGCACTGAAACGCGGGATCCTCTTGAGTGTGTGGCTCGATTCGCTTAACTTGGCCTTCAGAGCCGGACAGAGCGGGAGAGGGAAAGAAGCTTCGATCTTGATTGCCGACAACGACACGGATTATCCCCCGTCTACTGTATTCGGAATTTTGGGCTCTAATTTTCCCCACACGCGTCGCTTAAACGAACACATGATTTCACAAAATCAGGCACACCACGCTCTCTCCGTCTGTGTCTCCCTCTGTCGCTCAGCACCATCAACAACGGGAACCGCTTCGTGCCAACGGGGAGAACTTGCAGCCCCGTCTTACTCTTTATAATCCGCTAAACAAGAGTAGCTATTATCAATTGGAACAGACTCCATAGCTCAGTTGGTTAGAGCGTAGCACTGTTACTCGACTCTCACCCACAGTCAACGCAGCATTACCCTTACCCGCCTGTTTCCCCTTCCCTAGGGTAAGGTAGGGGGGTCAAGAGGTTCGCTGCGCATCAGAGGAGAGATGCTGAGGTCGGCGGTTCGAGCCCGCCTGGGGTCGTCCTTCTTTTTGCTTATTGAGCGGGCTGGCTTCTCCAGCTAGCCTTCTTTTTCCTTGCTCGACTATCTAAGATTATGCAGATGCGAATGATGTTGTACGACATGCTGGTGGTGGCAGATGTAATTTCGTTTCTGCCACGTGCTGTCGTTTTTCGATTCCGGCATTGTTAGACTTTTCATTCAAGGATTCACCAGGGATCGCGGCAAGCAAAACCAAACAAGCCGGCTATCGCGTGTCGCTCTTGTCGACGCCTATCTGGACTTCCATCTGGCAAAGCGTCTGTGTCGCGTGATCCATACTTGAGTCCAAACCCTCTCAGTAGGCTCTAGACTGTCGGCCACAATGAAAGTCTCAAAGCCACAGCCACGTACAGGCGGCAAAAGCTTGAGCCTCGACTACAATCCGGCTTGGCGCTTTTGGTCTCGCGGCGTCTTTTCCTAACCGTTGTCGCACCAACCAACCGAGCATATGTGTGGGAAATGGCGTGCCTATGGCAGTACATAAGTTGACATATATGAAGCGGCCATCTACCGAGGTGTACTTACGCAATCGAAAGCCCACTTGTTTCTTCAAAGTCACATGTTGTGCGGTTGCGTGGCGGCCCACCCATCTCATCTGTCCTTAGCCATTCCGACGGTCGTTTACTGGACACGGCGGATGGCTCCTTGACAGGAACAAAGAGACACACACTCAATGTGGCGTCCAGATGTGAGTGTGTCACCACTCTTTACTCTACACTGTAGCAAGGCAACGAGTACCCTCCACTTTCTCACGGTGTTTCTTGAAGTCGTCGCTGCCTGGTGCCGCTGCTTCACTTTGCCAAGCAGAGAGGGACACGGATCTAGGAACTCCATCTCTCACGGTCGCCACTGAGATCGGTGCCCCACTGATCAGAGCGCACATACCGCCATCCTCAAAGCACGTCCGAGACAAAGGCATCATTGGACCTTTCCTCCTGGCTCGAGTTTTGTTGCTGAGCAACTCACAATACTACAATACGAACAGACAATACACTCTCCTTCTTTCTCTACAGCTCGGCAGGACCGATGCGGTCTTTGGCCCGGCTATATCGAAGAACGGTCCTCCCGATCGTTTGACCTCGGCTTGCCACGGCCCGCCACAAAGGCCTCCTCCAACGATCCTTGTATACAAAATATATCTCTCAATAACAGCAGCCATGGCGACTCACCTCCTCGCAACGCTTCACATTTTCGCAGCAATCACATTGCTATCAGCTGCAGTCATCAACTTTCTCGTTCATCCCCTCAACCTACGCAGCGGCACGATCAGCATCCTCCTCGCCAGCTTGTGCACCATCATCGCCCTCCAAGAGATCTCGATCCTCGTATCTCCCTCCCGATGGACAACTTCCCGAGTCCAGATCCTCCGATCCTACCTGGGGCGAGCAATTCTCTTCCTCTTGGCGGCAGCTATCACGTTCGACAGACTCGTGGACTTGCCCTGTGACATTGAGGTCGAATCTTCGCCTTATTCTACGGCAGCGTCCAAGTTTTCTGTGGCTCCCGGCGGTACCACACGCAATGCCACAGACACCGCAGGATCGCAGAGCCTTACTCCCGAGAAAGGTCCCCCAGCCTTCGGCACAGCCTTTTACCTGACCAACAGCCTCGCACCCACTTGCATCAAGATCGACACCATTCCTGACCAAATCGAAGGCAGTGTTGCCTGGATCCACATCTCTGCCAACCAGATCAGCCGTGCGCTCGTCTTTTCCACCTGCGCGTGCATCCTTTCCACCTCCCTCATCTACTTTGTCCTTGCGATACTGCACAGATCCGGCAAGATACCCCTTTCGCAGAGCATGACTGACTCCTTTGAGCAGCACGACGCTTCCCATTCGCTCCCACAAGTTCAAGACAACACCCATATCTTTCTCCATCCTGGAATCAAAGAGACCGGTTCTACATGTCGCATCAACCTCTATCCCGAAGAGCCCACTTGCTTCCCAAGCAGATCCGCCACCGATTTGTACGAGGAAAATGTACCCAAGCCTCACCGCGTCGACAGCTCTGATGTCTCGAGTATCCGCGCCTCCAGCGTCCCTTCTTCCCGCCAAAATGCGGCAGCATCCGTCCTCGACCCAACCTCGGGAGCGGCTAGTACGCCAGAGCCTATCTTCCGAATTCAACGCATCGACTCGTTGCCACTCTCGGTTCGGGCCAATAGTGATCCTTGCCCGAGATCATCGAGACGCGATAGATATGGATATGGGAACGGATGCGATCGAACGGTGGATTTCGCCAGCGGATGCATTATGCATTATCCGCTGTTCTCGCAGAAGAAGAAGCACAAGGACCAGCAAAAGCAGCAGGGCTGGGTGGAGCCAAATGTGTTGCTACCGCCCGATTTTTCTAGGGCGTCGATCGGTAGTCCCATTGGACTGACGCCGAGGACGAGAACGGCTAAGAGTAGGGTCAGTGTCTCGTCGAGGAGGACCGAGGGAGAGTTGCAGAGACATCAGGAGGGAGAGAAGAGGGCGGAGAAGGGGGCTGGATGTGCGTTGCTCATTGCCGTTTCTGAGACTGCTACTCCGATGCGGGGTGGCAAGATCTTAGAGGCGCAACGCACGCAGCAAGCAACCGACGCAGAACAAATCTCTCCCGTCATCGTCGAGGCTTCAGATAGAATCCTTCTCTCACCGTCCCGCATCGACAGCAATGAATACCCCACTTTGCCGCACCAACATCTCAAGCCCTCTCCACACCCACAACCTCGTCTCGGTACAGCTGAATCCGCTTGCTCCAATCTATCGATTCTTAGCAACCTTAGCCATCATCATCATCATCACCACCACCAAAGCTACCGTCCCAATTCTCGACCTGGTACAGGTCAATCCACCAAATCAGCCAGCTCGTTCCGTCTAATGCGTCGCCGACGGGGCCTCCTCGCCACGCTCGATCTGCATCTTGGTGTCAGTGGCGCCCGATTCAGCGGCATCAGCAGCCACGATGTTCCCACTTACGATTCTCAGCGCTCCTGTAGCGCCGGTACCTTCGGAGATGGGGTGGAGGACGGCCCAGATGCTTCTTCGCCTCTACCTACGCCTCTAGCCATTGGCAGGGTGCCGCTTTCGCCCGGTCCAGGATCCCCAGCACCTCGCTAAGCAATTCCATAGTATGCTACGCTCGTTTCTTGTACACACATACACGCACACTCACACCTGTAGATCAGGCTCACTCGTTCGAAAGCTGAATAGTGCGCTCATGTACACCGTGCAAAAGCATCGTGCTGGTGATGGTGGTGGTGGTGATATGGTGAGAAGAATGCGGAACTCGGGAAAAGTGAGGAAGAGGTGCGGTGAAATTTCCCGAGGGTGCATGACTCTGACGTGAGCTAAATTGGATGGTTTGCCGAAATAGGTGGAGAGATGATGCACGGTTGCTCAGCCGTAACCCAAGTGGCCTCGAGGTTAAGGGTTCAGATTCTTCCCCTCATCAACACCTCCTCCTTCCTACATCTACAGACGAGCCGCAAGGCAACCCAGACCCGCATATATCGAGCTCGTACGGAACTAAGAGGCACTATGGACGACGTAGACCAGCAGTACGAACTGCATCCACCCACTGTGGATACTTCGACCGCCACCACCACAATACAAAATGATCCTTCATCTACAAAGACACCCAAGACGGCTGCTGCCTCTGCGGGGCCGATCCCCATGACGATGCCATCCATCCTTCGCAATTCCGGCATCTCCCAATCCAACCATCTCTCCTACCTTCTTGATCGCTCGCGTGGCTCCTCCTCCTCCTCCTCTTACCCACCTACATCTTCCCGCGCTGGCAAATCTCGGAGCGGATCCAACGCAAACCAACTCGGACGTCGCAAGCAGCGCCGTTCCGAAAACGCCCGTCTCCTATCGAATCCTCACGCCGTTCGTCCTTCCATTAAAGACTATCGTCTACACTCCAACGAGATCAAGTCCACCTTCCACTCCTCTTCCTCCTCCTCCTCGGGGAGCAAACCGTACAATCAGCCCGTACCCGCTCACAGCAACGCTACCTATTCCGAACCCACCCACGATCCCGTCTCTGCAACCCAGGGACATTTTGGAAAGAGTCTACGCGATGCTCAAAGGGTGCTGAAGAGGTTAGAAGTGGGCAATATTTCCGATGCCATGATCGCTGAGGATAAAGCGGGAGAGTTGGAGCGGTTCATTTGGCTCGTCGATCGCGAGATTCGATTGTGGTCGACCGACGATGTCCACGTATTCCCTTCCACGTCTGGCGGCGATAGAAAGCTAGGCCGAGTACTGCTAGACTCTGAATTCAACTTCACCGCTCCTCCACTGGACTCTTCAACAACCCAGACCGAACTGCCCACAGTAGAGCTCGACATGGTGAAACCAGGACAGGAAGGAGGCCAATTGGTAGAATTCCAACGAACCCCCAATGCCCTTGTCTGGCTGATCCACGATCCCTTCCTACGACTCGTCGTCCACTGTCTGGCGAGGGTGTGTAAATGTCCATCCTTTTCCAAGGACGATGTAGCCAGGCCAGGATTGCGCTTCACTTGGGTGTTGAATCGCAATCCGCTCGCACGACGCGGAAGGAGGGGGAGACGGGTCTCCGTCTCGAGCTTGACGGCGGCAGAAACAGCTCTCAACGCGGCTGAACTAGGAAGACCGGTGGCAGTGCAGATGGTAGCAGCGGGGGGAATGTTGGACACTCCTCCAACGACTGATTTCGACAGCCAGACCGAGACCGAGACGGAAAGCGAGCTCGGAGGCGATACAGATACTACCGATGGCGAAAGTCTTGCTGGATCTGTCGTTGTCGTGCAACCGATCCGAAGCACTACACATCGAGATGATGGCGATGACGAAGGTGAGGGTGATGCGGATCCAGAAGAGAATGCAGAAGGAGACGAAGGGTTAGAAGCAGTGGATACGGACGAGGAAGAAGCGGAGATTCTGAGAAGAGTCAGACGATGGGCTATCGACAGTCATCGACAGCGAGCAGCAGAAGATGAGGATGATA